GCTCCCTCCCAGCGAGGCGGTGCAGGGATTGCAACGGCGGAGCCCCGAGCAAGGAAGGGTTTTAATATTTTATCGCTGCGTTTCCTTCCCAAGTGAGCGCACTGCGCCTGGGCACGGTCTCCCTGAGGGAAGGGGCAGCGAAGGCACAGCCAACTTCCCGAGGAGCAAGAAAGACTCTGGCTCCAAGGGAAAAAAAAATGGAAAAAAAGAAAATAAACCACTCTGTAGCCAGTACAGAGCTCCTAAGCAGCTCCACTAGTTGTCTGTGGGTAGCCTTAAAGGTTTCAGGTCACTTGCAAATAGGAAAATTGAGAGATGAAGAATGAGTTTCAGTCTGGTAAAGTATGAAGTGCTATGTAGGGCGCTGGCTGGGCAGTGGTTTTGGGTAATGAAACCGCAGCTGGATGGAGAACACCAGCCCATGGCAGAGACTTGTCTTTGAAAGGCAGAGGCAGCCTTAAACCTTACTGATGGGTTTGAGAGTCGAGTAAGGCTGTGGAAGAGAGGTGTTCTCCATTCATTTCTCTCTTCTCCTGCCTCTGCATGGTCTCACACTCCCTGAGTGCAAGAGGGATGCTTTGGTAGAGCATCTGCCTGCCTCTGTGGTGAGGTGGGAGATGCAGCCTCCAACTAACTTCACCAGCAGGGCAGCTAAACAGAAGCAACCTGTTCTGTGTGCAAAACTGGACCTAGGCACGGTATTTAATAGAGGAGGGAAATGTGAATGGTTTTCTTCTCAGAGGAGAAATTCATTAAATAGTTTACATTGCTGGATATTATATAGGTGGTGACCACCCTTTGCTGAGCAGACTTAAGTACTTCAAATCAATCTTCAAAACTATATTAAAACAGTTTTTGAAGATTCATTGCATAACCTATCGCTGGTCATATTTCATTTTAGGATGTGTAAAAACTGAGCTGTAGAGGAGGTTTACATTCTTCTGTGTGGACTTTGTCAAGTATTTTACATGATTATTAAATCTCCTTTCAGAGAAAAATGGATGTACTGAATTTCAAAATAGTAGAAATTGCTTATTGTTATTACCAAGACTATGAAATAGCCTGTTCTGCTCAGAAACAGATTTTTAGGTGCATAATTATTTGTGTGCATTTGTGATGCTCATAATGTTTTGGATATTTTTATTGTGTGTGTTATGATGAGGTTGCTGTATAGAACAGTGCTCTAATTCAGATCAGTGTTCCAAATTAATCCCTGGTGTAATACCACTGATTTACGTGGAATGATGCCAGGGATGAATTGGATGTTGTACATCATTTTTGTTTTGATTTTTAGTCTTCCAGCTTACAATGTTATGAAAAGTGAAACAGTTAGTTAATTACTTAAATTGATACAGTTAACTGAAAATTTATGGTTTTCCCTAATGTTTTTGTGTGTGTGTTTATTTTTTTACTTCTGAGTGCAAAAAATGGCTGAGAGAAAAGTACGCTGAAAAGATGAGCAGATTTTCATTTTGGTTGCTTGTTATGCATTCAGCAACCTTTTTGTTTAACAATTTTATACATTTTTGTATGATTAGACAGATTTTTCTGAAATATAGCAACATGGAGACAAAACTTTTAAAATTACCAAAATGGGAAGAGAAACAAGCAAAACACAATGCCTGAAGTAATTCTTTAGGTTTGTTGTTTTTGGTTTTTGGGGTTTTTTTTGGGTTTTTGGGTTGGTTTTTTTTTTAAACTGACTAAATGTCCGATTGGTGGAGACTGTTGATAAAACAATACTTTATTATTATTATTAAATGCTCTGGATGGATTGGATGCTTGCTGTTGCTTTGCTGGACTGCTGCACAAGAATCCATGAAAGCGAGAGGAAACCTTGGAAGCCTTAGAGCTCTGCACCAGGGGTGAGAAGAGTGGTCAGGGTTACTGGCTGTAGGATCTCCAACAGCATTTGCCAGGACCATATTCCTTCCTCACTCACAAACAGAGCTTAATACATGAAGAGAAGAGCAGTCATTCTTCAATTTATTCCTTGCTGCATGTCCCCATGGACCCCAGAAAGGAGGCACTTTTGGTTGCGAGGTTGCTGATTTCAAGAGCTCTCTTGGACAATGTCCAACCCTGGGCTGTGCCTTACAGACAAAAATATAAAGGCAAAAAAGTTTGGGGAGCCTATTCTGGTTTTAGCCAGTGTCTGAGACTTAATTTGGTGCTAGTGGAGAAGAAACCTATTTTTATGTTCCAGTGGAAAAAGCCCTACTTGCATTTGCACTTGCTATTCACAGCATGAGCATCTGCAACCAGCAACTGTATTAATTGTTGGTCTGTAACTCTATAGCAGCCACACAAACTTCTCTTTCACCATTTCTCCTGAGCACTTGTGGACAAATCTGTTTTCTAGTTAGGTAGATAGCAAAGCAATTGGAAAAATATATAAGGATATATACGTTCTGCCCTTTTCCTTAGGTCATGAGTAGCTGAATGAGTTTCTCACTGAGAGCTACTAAGGAATGTTTGAAAGCCAAAGGTGGCCTTTAATCTATGGTTTGTGGAACAGATTTCAGGTCTGTTTCTAGTATCTCAAACTTCAGTAGGTATTTTGAGTTGAAATGACCACCTATCCCTTTTTAAAAAGTTAAAATTATATTTTCTTAAACATTACTGCAGATGAAATTCACCTTGGATACTACACATACATTTACTTAATTTATGGATATCTTAATATTTAGGGATGGATTAGTTGTTGCAGACTAATTCTGATTGAAGAACCAGAGGTTGTTTGAAACTGCTTACCAGGAAATAATGCTTCAGCCTTTGGCAACATGTCCTGACAAGTACAGAGACTTAGTATGCATAATTCCTATTAAAAAAATGAGGTTCTTTGCTCCCAGTGGTGTGCAAGCTGTAATGTATGTAATGACAGCTTCATTTGTCTATGAAATTATAACATGGCCAGAATTTAACTTGCACCTTGCATTGGCGGCTTAGTTCTGACAAGTGCTCACAGATCTGTTCCATGTGTCTATTACAAATCCTATCTCTTAATGGTCAGTAAAAGGAGTAACTTTTTATGTGGTATTGAAAAGGCTCTACCAGAGTGTACCACAAACTTTTCCCTTTTTATTCCTGGTAGCTTGGCTCCGTGCCTGAAGGCTAACAGGGATCTCTAAGCTATTGAAGCTCTCACCTTAGCACGTGTGAGGGTGACTTGAGTCAGTTAATGTGACATGAAATGCATATGCAATTTAGGAAGGAGGCTCAAACTCTTTTGCTGCTTAGTTTCAGGATGCCATAGAGGACCACTGATTAATTACCTGTTGGTGCACAATAGGTGATGGCCTTCTCAAGTTGCTTCTAGTTGGTGACAAGATACTAGAAGTAACGAGGCGAGGCCTTGCTTCACGTGGCTGTAGGTAACACAACAGACTTTCTGTTAGCTGGTCTCTTTGTGAGGAAAGGGTGTGATTTACATTTTTAAGCTTTTGTCTTTTTTTTTTGTGGTTCACTGTATCTCTCAGTACTGTTGTGTAATGCAGAATTGCCTGTGCATGCTATTACTGTTTTTTTTCTTCTGTAGAATGTAATTGGTCTTAATGGATTTTACAGTTAACATCTGCTATGCAATCTGACTTACGAGTGTTGAGAGCATCGTGCTCAGCTGGAAACTTTCTGTGCTGAACTGACATGTTTATTGTAAGAAGAATGCAGTAATATTTCACGAAAAAAAACTTTGACGTGTATTCTGTTTTGACACTCCTGTTTCACATGTGACATTTTGTTTCCTTGTGTCCTGTTTTTGTTTGTAACAGGTGACATTTGTGTGAATTTATGGTGCTTATTTTCCACTTGAAGTCATAGCACTCTGAGATTACATTGGTTGCTGTGGAAATTGCCATAAACAAGTAATAATAATTTCATAATCAATGGGGAATAAGCAGTTGGAAGCAATGAACTTTTAGGAAACAATATGGTATTTTGAAAAAAAAACTACAAACAACAACAAAACCAAACCCAACCCCCCAACAGCAACAAAAAACCCCAACTCCAATGCTTGTGTATTTGCAATAAAAAGGAGAAAACAGAAGGTGACACTTGAAACATGGGGAACAAACATATACATAAAATACTTCGAGATGTTAATTGCTCTGTGAACACCAAATCCAGTTCAACATCCCACCAGGATGGCGAGGGGATGGCGGGTCGGCAGATAACCCTGTACTGCTTTTCTGAGGGCAGAGTGGTATGAGAGCCATCCTGCAGGTGGTTTCTGTGGTCATGCTAAGCTGCTCTCCATCCATCGCTGCTTCTGTGGTGGAGTTTTTGCTACGTGGAGTGTGTCTGTGCTATTTTATATGGAACAAATACATCTGAAACTTGCTAGGCTGAGAAGAGAAAGGAGATCAAGACAAAAGTAAAATAAAGATATTGCTGCTTTGTGGAATGTTAAGGTGAAGTTGGACAGTTTACTTTGAGCCTGAACCAGAGCCTCAAAGATTAGAGTACAAATTTTTGGTGGTACAGGAAGACATGAAGGATTAAATCAGTATCACAAGCACAATGCAGAAAAGCTTCAGATTTCTGACAGTATCAAGATCTAGGAATGTTGTTTCTGGTAGGACTATTGAGCA